TTTTTTTTTTTTTTTGAATTTGTCACTTTTTTAATTCGTGTCACTTTTTTTAAAATTCTGTGACTTTTTTAATGTTTATCACTTTTTTTCAATCACTTTCTTGATTTCTATCACTTTTTTTAGTGGCGAATATCATTTTTTTAATCAAAGGAACATTATATGTCATTTTTTAATAAAAAAGTGACACAATTTTTATAAAAAAGTGACATTGTGTCACTTTTTAATATTACGCAGTATTTTTTATTTCCAAAAAACTTTTCTTCTGATTTTTCTAAAGACCCATAATTTTAAGAGTATTTTTGTAAGTTGCCCCATTATATTTTAACTATCAAGTGTTTATTAGTTATTTGAGCTCAAATTGTAACATTACTGTGTTAAATTAATTAAACTTTCGACAAGTCCAGTCCAAACCATGTCTCACGCAAGCAAATGCATACAAAACAAACATAATAATTGACAAGAAAAAGAAAGAAGGAAATTTTCAAGTCTAAACCAAGAAGGAAATCATTGACTGCTATACAAATGGAGATCATATTAACAAGTTCGTTCATATTGACAAGTTTTTGTCACTTTTAAGAAGAAAAAAAATGAAATAATATATTATATTTTCCTAACATAATTAGCATGTAGATTGGCCTGAACGTGTTGATCATTTTAAGAATATGATTACTGGTGCTACACAAATGGATGCTATTTTGGTATTTGTCACTTTTTTTGAGTTTGTGTTATTTTTTTGAAAAGTCAAAAAATTACAATTTTTATAAAAAAAAGTGACATTGTGTCACTTTTTTATTTTACACAGTATTTTTTATTTCCTAAAAACTTTTCATATGATTTTTCAAAACACCCATAATTTTAAGGGTATTTTTGTAAGTACCCAAAAAAAAAATATTGAAGAGTCCATTCTGATTTTTGGCCCAAGCAAAATGTAACAAATCAAACCCACATAATCAATCGATTGAATTCAAACTCAAACCTAATTTGTAATTTCTATTCCTCACTTTCCCTCTACTCTTTGGTCGATTCCCCTTTCTCTCTCTAACATTGCTGAGGAAATTGAAGTTTTGAGGTCAGTAATTACTAATTACGTATTCTTAATCTTAAGTTTCTCATGTTGTCGTGTATTTCTGGACATTACATTTATTTTTTGCTTGTAATGTCGCTAAATGAGTTATTTTTATGGTTATCGCTTGTTTATTGTCCTTTTCTGTTTTAAGTTTGGGGCTTGGGTGGTTTAAGGATGCTAAGCTATTTGATGTTATGTTTCCATGTTAATCGGGTATATTAAGATAATCAATGTGAGATCAGAGACCTTTAAAGATTACACATTGACTGGGGATTATTATTTTAGAAAAGAGATATCGGAATATGATGGCTGAGTTTAAATACATTTTAGGAAAAAGAATTTTGAGAGAAAAATGTGTGAAGAATACATGATATCTGGCTTGAATAGTTTAAATATTTATGAATTATTGAATCAGTGGTTCAGTTTAAAAATGCACTTAGGAATTAATACTTGAAGCGCTACTAATTTAGTCTTACTTAGGTGCTGCTAAATGCTAAATGTGGTTTAGTCGTAAACAATTGAGGTTCAATAGTAAATTTGTGGCTTTATCGATTGTTGTTGTTGATGTAGAAAAAGTTCTTTCTAAAATCTAATGCGGAATTCTTTTCATTGTCAAGAGGGGCTTTTCTCAAGTGTAAACATGATTAATTTCACATATACATAGGAAAAGCAAAAGTTTGAATACACCCTAGTAAGTCAAATTGCTCATCTCTTTGCTTATTGCCTTGTCGGCAAAATATCGAATTGAATGTTTTCGCGTACTTGTCTAAGTTGTTTTGTTGAAATGTTGCTTTGTCGGCATAACGATTGTTGTTATTGTCTTGCCAGTATCATGAATTATTTTTGTTGCCTTGCCGACTTACTAAATTAAATTTTGATTGTCGTTAGAGCACTGGAACAACTTTAAATGCGCGAAAAATTCCTGGATCCGCCCCTGGTCGAGTCCATCCTTTAATTTGCATGCTTTGAAGCAATAGTTTGCTTAGGAACTCACGTGGAGTCAAGGGATGCCAACCATAGATTTCAGAAACAGTTTTGTGTTGCCTTTTCTGGAGAACTAATCTGTAGAGATGCAACGACAAAAAATGGGTGCGAGGTTTGATAAGAATTTTATTACGAATCATTATTGTAAATCACATTTTTCGTGGCTGCAATTGAAGGATCAATGTCTTTTTTGGGATTGAAGTTGAACTTCTCCGTGCCCATTTCTCCTACACCAGAAAGTTTTTTTACGAATACTAATTCTGCAAGGAAATAAAATGTGTGTCACTATGTATAACATACATAACTAAATACAAAAATCATAAGATGAGTATTAAGACATCGACATTTAGCAGAAGTAACGGTTATAAAATGTGTTTCTTCTTTTGATAAAGATTCTTTGAATGTCATCTCAAATAGACTCTTACTCCTCGGGGAAGTATCTCGATGAGGAGAATCGATGATTTTCTTATGAACGTTGTTACTTGTTACCCATGTATCATCACACAAAGTGAAGGAGAAGTGAGTACAGTATACCAATTTTCATGATTTCTTCATCCCTTGCATCGTCAGGCACATCATCCCAAAACACTTCCAACATTATTGAGATAAATGCCTTTGAGATGGCAGGAGTAGTTCTTTTTCATATTGCAAATTACATGCCATATTTGGACATGTCATCTCATCCAAAGCATCTCAATTTAGTTACAAGATAGAACTCCTCAATTGAAAATCTCACATGTTTTCCAAATTAGTTTGAACCACATTATGTCCTTATTTTGATGCTTTACTTCCATTATAAATAGTCACGCCTCTTGAACAAAGCTTTCCTCTTAGGTGTCATCTTCAATTTGTGTATAGATATCACTTCTTACCTTGCAGATACCAATATCTTGCCTCAAAATCGATTTTTAGGAGAACAAATGCAACATGATACAAGACATCTATAAAAGGAGTATGACATCCAGTATTTTTTTATGAGCCTTTGATTGTAGTGTATGAAGCCCATTCATGAAGTTAAAATGTTTTAAATTAAAATTGGCAAAATTGGCAAATCCTAAAATCGTCAATGGTTAACCGGTTCACAATTAAACCGGCCGGTTCGATGGATTTTGAACAATTTTTGTTATAATTGATTAATTGGGCATGATTGGCCCGGCTTTTCATCCGGTTCTTGGTTCTTTTGGTCGAACAGGCTGGGCTAGGCCGATTTTGACAACATTGGAATTTTGCAATTTTTTATAATTGTTCTTGGAGTTGTTGTTGAGTTAATGCAATTATCGGTATCCAAGTATTCTAAGTGAATTATTTGGGTTCCCATAAAACTATTTCAAGCACCTCTTTTTGATGAAGATTTTGTGTTATTTGTTTGGTTATCATTTTTGAAGAACAATTCAAGTAAAAAATTCATTTTTATTTTTTGTTGGATTTTGATACTCGATCCGAAAATAACTTGGACCACTAAAAGTAACTTAATTAAGTTAAAAGGAAGTTACACAAAACCAGAATTTTAAAGAATCATTTTCAAAAATCAGATTAAAAGTTTCAATTTTCAAAAATAAGATATTTTATTTTTAAATATTAAATATTAATTGTACAATTTTCATCCAAACCCTAATCAATTTCATCCCAATTTTCTCTCTCTTCCGCCATTCCCTCTACCTTTTTCTCTCCACCGCTCTCTCGCTCACTCACTCCCCTCCGATGTCAAAAAAGGACTTTGATAAGGTGCTCGCAAGACAGAGGCCTACGGTGAGCAAAGCTGACCTTGATGTTCATGAGCGTTTCACAAAGGAGTATGGTGAGGAAAGCTGACCTTGATATTCAGCACAGTGCTGGGAATTCTTTTCTTTTTTTTTTTTTTTTAACACCACTAGGTGAGCAAAGGGAGAAATCTGAGAAATGAAACTCAGATAGTACAAAAGAGAATTACTAAAGAAGAAAATGTCAAAAAAGATTGATTCAAAAGGCAATGCTGCTGGTTATGCCTTTTTTTTTTTTGAAGGAAATAAATTATAAGCAGAAATTTGTTTAGGGAGAATCAATTATTTTCATGTACACTCAACCTTCTGTGTTTAAATGGTCAAATTAGGGAGCTCTTAAATTGGAACTAACTGGTGTCAATTAGGGGTGTTCAAAAGTTTCGAACCGAATCGGACCGAACCGAACCGAATCGAGCGGTTCTTCATAAATTAAATACCCGAACGGGTACTCGAATCGAGAACCGATGAGTTTGGATCGAGTCGCAAGTCTAGACCAAGAATCGAAGAACCGAAATTAAATAATNTGAAATGTCATTAGTTGTATTTATGTAATGTTACTGTAAATATTAAAAAATTTAATTATGGTACGGAACGGAACCGAACCCGAACGGTTCCATAATTATATTTTGACCTGACGGGTCCATTTATAAAATACCCGAAAGTTTTGGATCGGTTCGGGTCTCTTCAGAACCGAACCAAACCGACTCACGGACAGCCCTAGTGGCAATTCATTCAGTCATTTACTTCCTGTCTTCTGTTCATGAAAATTTACTTCAATTTTCTTTTTGATTTCTGAAATTTACTTCCTCTCCACCGCTCTCTCTTCTCACTCTCTACTCTCCTTTGATATCAAAAAAGGACTTTGATAAGGTGCTCGCAAGACAGAGGCCTATGGTGAACAAAGCTGACCTTGATGTTCATGAGCGTTTCACAAAGGATTTCGGTGAGGAAGGCCCCTTTGGGATAGGTGGTGGTGGTGGTTCCGGCGATGAGGGTTCAGTTCTCATGTTCTTGGTGGCAGTGGTGAGGTGATGGTCACAAGTTTTGGTGGTGTCACAGATTATTTGGTCATTTGTGACCATTAAATTCATTAATTTATGACCGATAAACAATATGTAACCAATGAAACATATAAATTGTGACTAAGAAATAATGTGTGACCTAAAAAATTGTTATTTGTGACCGATAATTTGACAAATTGTGACTTATAAAATTTGAAATTCGTGACCGTAAATTAATTTGTGACTTATAAAATTTCTAATTTGTGATCGATGAACAATTGTGACATATAAAGTTTTTGAATTGTGATTGTAAAATAATTTGTGACATGTAAAATTTGTGATTTGTGATCAATTATACAGAATTTGTGACCAAATTATATAGATTTGTGAGCATAATATATTTAATTAATAAAATATATGTTTAATTAATTAATTTATAAATAAAATTTTAAAAAAATCTGATATTTGAAATTTTAAACCTTATCCCTTAAATTGGAAATGGGTGAAATTAAACCTCTTACTTATGAAATTTTCCCTTTAGTTAATATTGCTCGTGACCCAACATTTTGTGAATTGCCTAAGTTATGGTAATTGTTTGACATTGGATTGGTGGCGATATTGTTAGCCCATTTGTTTGGTAAGTTGGGGCTTTGGTTAGTTGGACAATTTGGTGAATTGATTTTTGGCCCAAGGTGAAATCTAACATACCTATACATCATTTCCCTTCCCTTTTTCTTTGTGAATGAGAGTACGTGTAATTGCGAGAGTTTGAAATAGTTTGAGATCTATCATTGCATCCTTTTTGTTTTCTCCTCCCATTGTGGCTACAATAATAATCACCATTTCCTTCTCAGTACTTAGGTGTAAAACTTGTGGCAACCAAGTTGTACAAGTTGTGGGTCCACCTCCCTAGTTGGTATTCGTTTGGTTGTAAAATTGAGCCCGGTTTCAAGATTTCTGAGGATTCCGCATACAATATTGTTTCAAAAACTATAACTCATCTTAGAAACTAGATGATCAGCCTGCTTCCTTTCTCTTTGCTTTATGAATACTTTACTGGAAAATTGGATTTGATTAGTTGGTTTGACCAACTTTTGACCAATTATTTTAGTGGGTCCCATTAGTTGGACAAAATATTTCTTTGGTTGAGTGTGTTCTACTCTACAAGTAGATTAATGTAATGTATTTATTTTCTCGAAACTAATTTAAAGTGAATGAGAAATTAAGGCCAAAAGATGATCACTTGAAGTTAAAATAAAGTGGAATAAAAATTGGTGGGAAATTGAAAAAGTATCAATCCCACGTAGGAAAGCTAGGAGTATATAAACCACTTTATATTGCTCAAGTTTGGGACTTGGATTTGGACCCTAAGGGGTACCAATAGTCTTTGAAAATGAGAGAACCTACATGCTAGTAAGTTGGGCCAAAGTCCACACACGCACGCCCTCGTCCCTGTTTGTCCGACTGATCGGCTCGCAGGACACAAGCACGGGCACGGGTAATGGATCGTGGGTCGTGGGCTTGTATTTGGACCAAGTTGATATATATTTTTTAGTAAAATAACATTTGATTTATATTATTTTATTATTATTTAAAATATTAAAATATTAGTTTTTCCCCTAATTTTCTATGTGTGACACGTGTATTCTTCTAGAATGATGGTTAATGGTGACGGTTGAGTTGGTCCAAACGATTTGTGTATGTTGAAGATACAATTTTTCGGCTGTTGTGTCTTTTGGACACAACATTTCAACTTCTATAAATTGGCTCCCATAACTCGATTTTCATTCACTTTCATTCACTTCAAACTCAATTCTGATTTATTCCACTTCCGAAATTATTCATTCGCCTCTGCATTATTCATATTTTACAATCCAGTCTCGAAAAATAATTTTTGTGCATTTTAGTCCTCAAACTTTAAGAGAGATCAAATCGTGAGTAGGTTCGTCGGGTCTTGTAATTTGTAGTGCTACTATTACAAGTTGAGGTCATTGTATCTTGGGAGACAGGTGCCAGAATATCATCAGTACCAGTGCGGGGCGTTATCGTCATAAGGAGAAAGAATCGAACTCTTACCTCGACCATTAACATTTTATAGCATTCACTTTTTCGAGACGTTATTCTGTCGAAGTAAATTCACGGTGACATAATTGGCCAACGAAGGAGAAGGAGAGTTCTCGTCTACAGCCAGAGATGATATAGTGGAGAAATCTGACGACAAAGGTGCTGGAGGAGAAGAATTTACTACGGAAGGGGATATCGAGAGAGTAGCGGGAGATGGGAGAGTTTGTCACCAGCAGTTTGGGGGAAGGGTCCGACAAATCTACGACGATTGTATAGTGAATGATGGTGTCGAGGAGAGCTAGAGAGAGTGAGAGGCTTAGGAGAGCAGAGACGAGAGAAAAAGTAAAATTAGGGCTAATTTCTTGAACTGATTTGATTTTAAGGAGTCTCACTTTTAGCAACGTTCAGAAAAATGTTGCAAAATTCTTGCCACTAGATGTTTTAGTAGCGCGCATTTGAACGTCGTAAAAAATTTCACTTTTCGCAACATTCGTTGACCGTTGCGAAAAATCTCACTTTTCGTAACAGCCCATGAACGTTGCTAAATGTCATTTTTCGCAAAGTTCATTGACCGTTGCGAAAAATCTCACTTTTCGCAGCGTTCACAACGGTCACGTTGCAAAAGGTGAATTTTTTTGTAATGGTCAGTGAACGTCGAGAAATAGCAACATTTAATTAATGAATGTTGCCTTTTAAGTATTGCCAAGCCCATTTTTATTGTAGTGTTTGTACAATTTTCATATGCTTATATTTGAATAATCATTACTTCATTAGGGATACTTCATAATCTAACTATACAATTTTCCATTAATGTTAGCATCATTGCAAGAAATTTTTATGTCTCTTTTTCCAATCTTTTAAATCCTTCAATCAACTAGTCATTTGATAATACCCCATTTCAATGGTTATCCTCGACATACAATCAAAACAACTTTTAAGAAGTGACAATTTTCTTTACATAATGCTCATTGTGGCGTCAATTAGTCTAGTGTCTTCCACTAACACTAAAATATGGTAATATATACAATTAATTAAGTCCGTTTGGATTAAAATTCAATTAAAATTTAAAATCAAAATCAATAAATTATTCTAACCACACATATCATGGATTCACAATTTTTGTTCATCAACTTTAATCAAAATTTACTAAAAAACTGATTTTAATTTGCATTAAACATGAGCTAAATACAAAATCATGGTTGATTCCATGTTAAATACAACTCTAATACATATTATAGAAGATTTAGAAGAACAAATCGTTACAAAATCTACTTCTTGGAGTTGGGATTGAAGGAACTATTTGAGACATAAATTTACAGTTTGGAGACGCACATATACAAAGTTACTATGATGTGAAAACATTTTAACTTGTGATAATTTGACAGTACAAAACGAAAAATCGAAAGTACAATCACATGTTAAAAGACAAGACAATCGAAATTTGTGGTTGAAAATGTATTTAGAAAAAAAATGAATTTCAGAAAAGTGGTCAAATAAGGTTTAATTTTTGGACACAAACTCTTTGAACATTTAGAAGTATTAGCTGTAAAAACGAGTATTTAACCGAAAAATATTAAAATTTGAGTAGTTTTTAATGAAAACAAGCATGAAAAATTAATGGAAAAGAAAATTTATGTGATTTAATTTAGAATCGACTTATTCTTTAACAACAAAGATTCAGCCTCCGTTTGGCAAATTTATAAATTATTTATTTAAATAGGAGCGATAGTAATTTTTTTTACATAATATGTTATATGTCGATACCAATGAATACTAGTTATGAAAGTACATTGAAGTGAATGTTAGATTTTATAAATTAATTTATTAATTATATCTAAACGGAGGCTCAATTATTTTTGGTCAAAGATTCATGTCTTGATCCAACGTTGTGGGCCACTAGCTTTTCTTTTTTTTGATACCAAGTGAAACAATATCATTAATGGCGCAAAACGCGGATACAAGTAGGAAAATCTCCAACACATGGCTCTTCTAAGAGAGATTGAGTGCTTCCACATACATAAATTTACAGTTTGGAGACGCGCATATACAAAGTTATTGTAATGTGAAAACATTTTAACATGTGATAATTTGATAGTACAAAACGTACAATCGAAAGTAAATTATTCTAACCCACATTTCATGGATCCACAGTTTTTGTTCATCAACTTTAATCAAAAATTACAAAAAAAACTGATTTTAATTTGCATCGAACATGAGCTAAATACAAAATCATGGTTGATTCCATGTTAAATACAACTCCAATACATATTATAGAGGATTTAGAAGAACAAATCGTTACAAAATCTACTTCTTGGAGTTGGGATTGAAGGAACTATTTGAGACATAAATTTACAGTTTGGAGACGCACATATACAAAGTTACTATGATGTGAAAACATTTTAACTTGTGATAATTTGACAGTACAAAACGAAAAATCGAAAGTACAATCACATGTTAAAAGACAAGACAATCGAAATTTGTGGTTGAAAATGTATTTAGAAAAAAAATGAATTTCAGAAAAGTGGTCAAATAAGGTTTAATTTTTGGACACAAACTCTTTGAACATTTAGAAGTATTAGCTGTAAAAACGAGTATTTAACCGAAAAATATTAAAATTTGAGTAGTTTTTAATGAAAACAAGCATGAAAAATTAATGGAAAAGAAAATTTATGTGATTTAATTTAGAATCGACTTATTCTTTAACAACAAAGATTCAGCCTCCGTTTGGCAAATTTATAAATTATTTATTTAAATAGAAGCGATAGTAAGTTTTTTTTTACATAATGTCAATACCAATGAATACTAATTATGAAAGTACATTGAAGTGAATGTTAGATTTTATAAATTAATTTATTAATTATATCTAAACGGAGGCTCAATTATTTTTGGGTCAAAGATTCATGTCTTGATCCAACTTTGTGGGCCACTAGCTTTTCTTGTTCGTACACAAATGGAACGATCCTAAACCATATTCATATTTCATAGTTGACGCAGACAAGTAATTTATAATTGCACCGTGATCTCTATATGGCGAGATATGCAAATGATAGTAGGAAATCTCAATACAATTTTGACCTACAACGGCTATTCTAAAAGTTACTCAACCTAGGAAAAAAAAAAAAAACTTTAGCTCGAACATAAGTTTGAGAATGTCATTTGCTCAACAGAGTTTAAGAATATTTTAATCAATTGATCTAATATGTCGCAACTTGGCCGTGTGGAAACGTCCCTTCTTTTCTCATGACCATGAATCCAACAAGAATAGTCTAAAGTTATGATCGCTACAAGTCCTTTTGCATATGAAACTTCTAAGATTTGGATGGATCAAAAGTACTATATGTATGTTGAGGTATGGTATTTTTCATTGACCGCTCAAAACTTAAAAGTTCTAATAATGTTAGAAAAATTGGCCCAAAGGGGATCCAAATCTTTGTCTTTTCATATTTGGTCCAAACCTTTTAATTTTGACACTGAAGTTCTAAACTTATGCCATTATGTGCTCAATTGATCCTTTTGAATCGACTCCATTCAAAAGAGTACACTTTCGTTTAAGGGTAAATTGTATATTTAACCTAACTTTTGGCAAAAGTAGTGCTCATATCTCTAATAATTTATTTGTCATATTTTTGTCCCCTAACTTTGAGGGATTACAACTAAGTCCCTCTTGTTGCTCTTGCTCTTTTAATAGAGGCCAAAATTATCAATTCTTTTACTTTATTCTAAGAGGATAATATTACGTTGAATAAATTAGATACCATATTTTAATTGCATGATAGATCATTTAACTTTATTCGCCGTGACAATTATGTTTTCAACTTTTTTCATTACATTCTTATCTTTAACCTTACACTAATAGCTCATCTTGTAAAAAAATTGTCCAAAAATTTGTCGAGAGAAAGTAAAAAGACTTGTTCTCTCTCTGTATTTTTAAATAAGCAAAAATAAAAATAAAATATGAGATTATGAATAAATATTTCCCCTCATTTTTAAGAGCATTAATATTTGGACGAGAACCCTTACTAGGGATAAGATATGCTATAATGAATTAAAAGTTAAGAATAACAATATGATGACATAAATATGTCAATGAATAAATATCAGAGACCTTTAGTACAAATAAATGTGGTGCATTTATTAAATAATATAGTTTCATGTAATCAGTGTTCTAAAAAACGTAAAGCATAGCAAAACGGTGAAGTCTATGTGTTAAAAAGCATAAAAAAACATTTTCTTATTTTAAGTTTTTAAATCAATCTAAAAATTATTTAATAATTAAAAAAAAGCATAACAAACCTTGAAAGGCATTAAAAGAAAAAAGCGCCAAGCATGCTTAGGCGTGAAAAAAATAATTAAAAAGCTCGAAGCAAGATGTTTTGCTCCCTCTTCGAGTTTAGACAACGCTACATTTTAGAACACTGCATTGAATACTCTTGATGTTAATATATTTTTAAAAGAAACGCATCTCCTTCAACTAACCCATAGTGTGATGGATTTCAAATTTGATGGTGGCGTTCACAAGTTACAATGTCAAAAAATTAAACACTATATTATCAAAATAACAAATAGTGTAAGTTACAATTTAAATAAATTACATATACTAGGTAAGTTATGATTATTGTAACTAATTAAGTCATTGTTTGGTGTAGATTTTTAATTTTTTTAAAAACTCATGTTCAATTACACATTTTCTCAATAGAATAATTTTATACTTGAATTCATTACCTTTTCCAACTTTCCAACTATATATTGTTTTTTAAAAAAATCACTTTTCACAAAATTTATTATAAAAGATTCTACATCAAATAGGCCTTAAATGTAAGGATTCCCAAATTACTTTGCAAAAAATTACATACATAGAAAATGATATGGTTCTTACACATAATTTCTTAATTTATTCAGAAATAATTCGCGAGATCATACATCTCTCTTTCCTAGTTATAAAGGAAAAATGTTCAGCTAGTTGGATCTCAAACTTAATAATATGAACCGCATTCGAGAAGTGATACTAGATTTACCAATTAAAATCTGTCATTTTTTATCGGTGTATGTAAGGGTAATTAGCACATAACTTTTTCACATTTCACTGGTACAGTGAAAAAGTCATTACTTTTCATTTTTTTGGTATTTTCATCCTTATTTCTACATTTCATTGCGCAAGAAGTCATTTTTATTTATTTTCTCAATTAAAAATTATAAAATGACGAATATACCCTTCCTTTTAAATAAAACAAAAGGAAATAAGAAAAAGAAAAATTGCAAACATAGTCCCAATGTTTTTTGAAAAGTGCAAAAGAATCTCAAA